ATATTGCTGTGATACTGATGTAATTCCACCAGCATTCTAAATGCTAGCAGGGTCAACTATAGGGGCCACTTTACAGAACCTCAAGACTAAGATGGAATAGGAAGAAGGAGAGGCAGAGTACTTCTAAATGGTTAGCCACTGAAAACCTTATGAATTGCAGTAGAATATTGTTACATATAGTGCTGGAAGGTGAGCCCTTTAGCTGGGAAATTGCTCAAAATATGACTGAGGAAGCGCTACCTCCTCAAAGTAGAATTGGCCTTAATGATATAAATGAAACAAAGCTTTTGGGACCTTCATTTCCTGATGGAGCACAAGTCAAAATTATGAGAAATAACTGTAAACATCCATTAATTATCAGAGCATGGAATGCACAAAGTATGAATCTAGGAAATTTTTAATTTGTCAAAAATGGAAAGGATTGCATAATGATTGATATTGTAAGCATTAATGAGCTGAACTGTATAGGTATCAGCCATTTTGAATCAGGCAATCACATAGTCTACTGTGCTGGGAATGACAAACTGAAGAGGAATGGCATCACACTCATTGTCAAAAAGAACATTTCAAGATCTATCTTGAAGTACAATGCTGTTTGTGACCGAATAATATCCATACACCTACAAGTAAGGCCAGTTAATACCACTATTATTCAAATTATGTACTAACCACTAAAGTCAATGATGATGAAAGTCAAGAATTCTGGCAACTTCTTCAGTCTGAAATTGATCATGCATGCAACCAAGATGCATTGATAATTACTGGTGATTGGAATGCGAACGTTGGCAACAAAGAGGAAGGATCAGTAGTTAGAAAACATGGCCTTGATGATAAAAATGATGCTGAGGACTTTTTAAAGCAACATTAAAGGTGAATATACACATGATCCTCACCAGATGGAATACACAAAAATCAAATTGACTATGTCTGTGGGAAGAGATGGTAGAGAAATTCAATACCATTAGCCCAAACAAAGCAAGGGCAGACTGTGGAACAGACCATCAATTGCTCTTATGCAAGTTCAGGCTGAAGTTAAATAAAATGAAAGTAAGTCCACAAGAGCCAAAATATTACCTTTAGTACATCCCACCTGAATTTAGAGGCCAGCTCAAGGCCAGATTTAATGCATTAGATACTAAAGACCAAGACCAGAAAACTATGGAATGACATCAACAACATCGTACATGAAGAAAGCAAAAGATCATTAAAAAGACAGGAAAGAAAGAAAAGACCACAATGAATGTCAGAAGAAACTCTGAAACTTGTTCTCCTACAGTGTAGAGAAGCTACTGTGAATGGGAGAAATGAAGAAGCAAAAGAGCTTAACAGAAAAATTCAAAGGACTGCTCAAGAAGGCAAATCAAGTATTACAATGAAGTGTGCAAAGACCTGGAGTTAGAAAACCAAAAGGGAAGCACACACCCAGCATTTCTCAAACTGAAAGAACTGAAGAAAAAAATCAAGCCTTGACTTGAAATATTGAAGGATTCTATGGGCAAAATATTGAGTAATGAATGTATCAAAACAAGATGAAAGGCACACCCAAAAGAAATGGTCAATATCTAACCATTTCAAGAGATATCATCTGATTAAGAACCGTTGATACTGAAGGAAGAAGTCCAAGCTACACTGAAGGTGTTGGTGAAAACCAGGACTCCAGGAAATTGGCAGAATACAAATTGAAGTATTTCAACAAATTGATGAAGCAATGGAGGCCATCACTTACTTATGTCACAAAATTTAGAAGACAATTTCCTGGCCAACTGAGTGAAAGAGATCCATGTTTGTGCCTATTACAAAGAGAGGTAGCCTAACAGAATGTGGAAATCACCAAACAGTATCATTAATATCACATGCAAGTAAAATTTTTTTTTTTGCCAATGATAATTCAAAAGCTGTTACAATAATACATTGACAGGGAACTATCAGAAATTCTAGCTGAATTCAGAAGAGGCATGCAACTATGGATATCATTACTGATGTCAAATGGATTGGCTGAAAACAGAGAATATAAGAAAAATGTCCATTCATGCTTTATTGACAATAGAAAGGTTTTTGGCTGTGTGGATCATGACAAACTATGAATAACCTGGCAAAGAATGGGTATTCCAGTACACTTAATTTTTCTCATGAGGAACCTGTACATAGACCAACAGGCAGTTGTTAGTGCAGAACAAGGGGCTAGTGAATGGTTTGGAATCAGGAAAGGTGTGTCAGGATTGTATCCTGATTTATTCAATCTGTATACTGGACAAATAGTCTGGGAAGCTGGACTATATCAAGAAGAAAGTGGCATCAGGATTGAGAGAAGATTTATTAACAACCTTTGATACACAAATGATACACTGAAGCTGGCTAGAAAAGAAGAGGACTTAAAACGCTTACTGATAAAAATAAAAAAACTACAGCCTTCAGCATAGATTACGCCTTAATGAAAGAGAACAAAAATCCTCACAACTGGATCAATAAATAACATCATGATAAATGGAGGTAAAATTGAAGTTGTCAAATACTTCATTTTGTTTGGATCCACAATTAGCACTCATGGAAGCAGCAGTCAAGAAATCAAACGACATATTGCATTAGACAAATCTGCTGCAAGAGACCTCTTTAAAGTGTTGAAGAGCAAAGATGTCAGCTTGAGGACTAAGATGTGCCTGACCCGAGCCATGGTATTTTCAATAACCTCATATACATACGAAAGCTGGACAGTAAATAAGGAAACCGTAGAAGAACTGACCTATTTAAGTTATGGCATTGGAAAAGAATATTAAAAGTACAATGGACTGCCAGAAGAACAAACAAATCTGTGTTGAAAGAAGCAAAGCTAGAATGCTCCTTAGACGCCAGGATGGTGACACTTCATTTCTCATACTTTGGACATGTTATCAAGAGGGACCAGTCCCTGGAGATGGACACCATGCTTGGTAAAATGTAAACTCAGTGAAAAAGAGGAAGACTCCTAATGAATTGGATTGACACAGTGGCAGCAACAATGGGCTCAAATGTAACAATAATTGTGAGGATGGCACAGGACCAGACAGTACTTTGTTCTGTTGTGCATAAGGTCACCATGACTCTAAAATGACTTGATAGCACTTAGCAGCAACAAAACCTCTTGATCTGTGAGAAAATTAATTTCAGTTTCCTAAAGGCACTCACTTGTGTATGTCTGTTTCCACAATACTAAAAAACTAAGATACTTGACATTTCTTCCTTTTGAAAAGGAGCCGAACTCTGCTTTTCCATAAACCTTCTTCCTCCTACATAAACCCTTTCCCTCACCAGGGACCACCTGAAGCTTGACTCATTGGCCAAATTAACTATCAATCCCTCAAGACTTCTTCTGGTGTCCTGTTGGATACTGATTCCCTTTCCAGAATTCCTGAGGGTAATTTTGATACCACAATGCAAGGCTTGACACTGGTTCTTTTGGGAATTAATTTCGTTGCAATAACCACTAGTCCCAACCCATCAAGAACTGACTAGCTTCTGATTTTGCAACCTGTGGCCTCCCTCCCAACTCCTTATGTACTGGTGCCATCCTCTAAGATGCAATGGATAAGGAATGTGGAGGGACAGTCATTTGGACATCACCCAGCCAATGGCAGGACCTTCCAGTCCTGGAGAGGAATAAGAGATGAACAATCTATTGGATACCACCAATTACCTACACTTCTCCTCATATTAGGTATGTGGACCCACCCAGAGGTTGGACAGGAGAAATGATTATCTGCTTCCTTAATGAGTATCCATTGCCAATGAGTCAATTCCGACTCTTAGTGCCCAGGTAGAACAGGGTACAATGAACTCTTAGGGTTTCTGAGACTGTATATCTTTACAGGAGCAGACAGTCTCATGTTTTTTCCAGAGTGACTGGTGGGTTTGAACTACTAACCTTACAGTTAGCAGCCCGATGTGTAACCCACTGTGCCAACAGGAAAGAAAACCTTATAGGACAGTTCTACTCTTGTCACATAGGGTCACTAAGAGCTGAAACTGATTCAACAGTGTGTGAAATGAAAACACAGTAGGGTATCAACTCACTGGAAAGATAACTGTGGAGAGGAGATGGAAGACTTTATTTGGGAAAATGTTGACATGGACATGGTAGAGAAGAAACACTGAAAGGAGTAAAAATAAAACTAGCATATACAGTGGATCATCACTAAAATATAAAACCAGTCACTATTTAGAGGAAAAGTAGATTTGGATTTATTTTTGAATAAAATGCATTGCTACTAACTCTGTGGAAATGTGCCAAGGTTTTGAGCATGTGAGGTGAGGGAAGAAGACCCCTCAACAGGGCTAGCACCTTTATTCTCAGAATCTGAAAGGAAATAAGAGGTGGGGAGTTGTTCTACTTTGATCTCGCCCTGAGCTAAGGAGCTCTCCAGGGGCTGAGGGAAACAAGGTTCAGGGTCTGTTAGGGGCGAGAACCTTACACATCAAGACCAATTTTTTTTTTTTTTTTAAATCCTCTCACTCTTGGTTTCCCAAAAATGAAATACAGCACAACAGCGCACACGAATTAAGTAGTGAAATTTGCTGTAAGTGTAAATGAAAACTTAGGTAGGGTCCGTGAAAGAAAATTAAGCTGAGAAAAGTGGGGAAGAGGAGGCTGTGTGCAGTCAACATGCTGGAAAAGAAAACAAACCAAACTAAAATAAGGCTTTGAGGGCATCAGACTCAGGTTGGTCAATGGAATAAAAAGGAGATGCTAAGTCATACAAGGAGTGGTTCTGATTTGCAGGGCAGGATGGGTGAGGCAGACCTCAGTCTAAAGTGTAGATGTAAACACAGTAGGAAAGGGCAGGAGAAGACATAGCTACACAGAACACATCTTGTCGGAGTATGGCTGTTCAAGCTTTCCCTTTAAAAAAAAAAAAAATCTAGCTAATCAGGTTAATGAAGAAAATTCACATCACGTTTTACTTCAGCTGTAGTGAGGGTTGGGGAGGATCTGGGAAGAGAGCTGGTGGTGGTGCCACAGTTGGGCACTAGCCCAGCGCCACCTTCCTGGAGATGGTCTGGTAGAAAACGCCCTGTAAGAGCGCCTGGTAGCTAGGCACTCGGAATAAGTGCTTCTCGCCAAAGGCCACGTCATACTCAGCGGTCTTGCCAGTGACCAGCACATGAATGTGGGGCTCGTTCACCTGGTGACCCACCACTACTACAAAGATCTCAATGCCTGCCCGGTGGGCCTCCTGCACAGCCTTCTCGATGGCGGCCGCTGTGACGCCCTGCGAATTACCATCTGAGAATAGCAGTAGCCGCTTCTTGGCAGGGACTGAGGAGGCCTCTCGATAGAAGCGGGTGACGTAGCGAAGGGCATCAGTGACGTCGGTGGCATCATTGAAGAAGCTCATGCTGTCCACGCTGTTTGCCACCACTGTGTAGTTCTGTAGGAACTGCAGGGCTGCCCGCTCCGGCCTCTGCTGGCCGGTGCCACTGTACTGCATCACCGACACTCGCACGTCATGGGAGGGGTCGGTGTGCTTCGCTGTGAGGAAGCGCTCCGCTAGGCGCTTGGCAAATTTCTTAGTGGTCTCGAAGTTGTGACTACCCACGCTGGCTGAGCCGTCTAACAGGATGGTGATGTCAGCAGGGGAGGAGAATGTGACTGTGGAGGGTAGGTAACCGTTAGTGTGACAACAGGGTTGGGTCACGTCACGGGACTTCATAACTGCCCAGCTTCATAGGGGGATCTGGAGTTGGGGTGGTCCTGCCACGTCTGAGCTGACCCTAGCCTCATCACCCATGTTTTCCTTTGTCTCTCAGATCCTTCTTCCTCAACAGGTGTGCTGTTCCCCACCCCCCACCCCAATATGCCCCTCTCCACCCATTCAGCTGGGCATGTGGTACTCACCCGGGCAGGTGTAATCTGGACATTTCTTATCTATGAGAGAAAAACACCATGTGATATGAGCCTGTGAACTGCCTATCACCCTCACAATCTTGTCACAATGCTAGGACATCCCCAGGTGAAACACAGGTGACTGTTGCTCAAGGCAGTCTGCCTGTATATCTACAGCACACTTCAGGGTTTCAGAACCCTTTACCAAGGAGAACCTTTGGAGGTGACAGCAGGATGCTCCAGGTTCTCCTTCATCCCATTCATGGTCTGCATCCCATCCAGTAAATTGGGTGGGGCAGAGCCTGGCCCTTTCCATGAATAGAAAAACCCAGACTCAGGGAGGGAAAGATGGCCTACAGGTCACGTGGCACCAATTAGTGGCCCGCTTGGCCTTGGGGCAGCAGTCTAAGGCCATACCCAGTGCCCTTCTATCCCCAGTGACACTTGGATAGGGTGCACCAAGTGAGACCCAGCTGCTCTCTCTGGCTGCCAGTCAGCTGCCTATGATGGAATTGTGTCTGCTGCTGTGCTGGCCATGCAGACACTGTGTGTCTCTGAGCAACTCCAGATTCAGACTGACCATTTCACACATGTGTGGTGCCAACCCTCAATTTGAGCTGGACATGCATGTGTGATCATAGGCCCAAGATAGGAGGGTGGGTATGTGAGCTCAACCTGTCCTCATGGAAGCTTCCAGACACTTCATCCCTTGAGGAGGGGAGGCAATCCCTTGGGCCATATTGCTGACTCTTTTGATCATGGATCATAGTACTGGCTGAGAGTGAATGAACTAAGACTTGCTGCTGTGTGGTGCCTTTTCCAAGCACAGCTGTGCAAGAGCTCCAGACCTTTGATCCTGGCCACTGACCCTGGTACCCACCTTTGCAGATCTCAGCAGTCACATTCTTCAGGAAGTTGTCATCCAGCAGCTCTGCGTAGTTATCCTTGACGAGTGAGATGCCTGGCCGGGGCCCGCTTTGGCAGGCGATGACATTCAGCTGGTCAGAGCTCGGGGAGGAGCCAAACAAGTCCTTGATACCCACAGATACCACCTATGGGGGAAGGGGTGCTCACACCAGGACCTGGCTACACTCACACCAGGGTCCTGCTGCATTCACACTGGGACCCCACCACACTCACACCAGGGCCTGGCCATGATCGCTCATACTGGGGCTCAGTGACACCTGGGGCCTAGATGAGCTCACACCACACTTCCCCACCTCCCTGCGCTTGAGCAGGGTCCCCTCCTACCAACAAGCCCCCACCTGGATTTCAGGGCCACAGAGCACGTTGAGGGGTGTGGTGTCCCTCTGGGTGTCTGAGCGCCCATCTGTGATGACCAGGGCGATGAGGTTGTTGGAGGTTGGTAGCAGCCGGTCCCGGGTATATTGTAGGGCCTCGCCTGTGAAAGTGCCCCCTGCCATCCATTGCAGCTTCTTGATAGCTCTGTGTGGAGCGAGGGTGGTGGTCAGGGCAGGGCCTGAGAGGAAGGATGGGCTCAGATGCTTAGATGACTGGGCAGTCACACCATGTGGACTCACTCCTTCAGTTCCTGTGTGTTCCTGATATTGGAGCTCCTCAGGTCCACGTGTTCCTGCATCTGGTTGTGGCTGTACTGCACCACGCCCGCGTGCGACTGCCCAGGCTCAAACTGCTCCGTTGTGGGGGCGGAAGGCACTGTGGTCAGAGCACATCCCCTTCCCATGGGCACCCCCTCCCTTCCCAGCCATGGGAGAATTTGCATTCCTGATGATTCTCAAACTCGTGGGTCTGGGACCAGTGTTTAAAGACACCTCGTCATGTGTTTCTGGTGGCTGTGAATGACATGGAGTATTGTGGGCCTACCAGGAGCCCTGGGAAATGCCAAGCCCAATGTCAGCATACTCCAGTTCCCTGTTCTGTCTGGTGCAGATGCCCACAGACAGGCACTTAGAGATGGGAGCCTCGCTCACTAGGATCCAGCCCTGGCCAACCTGAGGTAGTGGGGCTGGCAATTGGGCTGAGAGGGGGTCCAATGGGGAAGCATAATCCTCACTGATTGCCCTGGAAAGGCAGGTCAGAGTCCCTGACATTCGTGTCCCCTCTAATGATGGGATGACCCTAAGCCCTGTGACTGCAGGGACCACCCCTGTTTTCCAGGCTTCCTTAAATGTGTCTATCCCCACAACTCCCCATCACTTCCCTTTGCTATAAAGAACAGTGCTGGGCCCTGAGGAGAGGTGGTCTGCTCTCACTCAGTGGGGCCTGGGAGATCACACCTGCTAGAGCTCACAGTAGCTGTTGGGGGAGGCTGGTGCACTAATGTGTCCTGGACCATGCGTATGGTGCCTCACCTTGACCAGCTCGTCCCGGCTCAGTCGGTCAATGACTTTGACAATGAAGTCCTTGGCGATCTCAAAGTTCTGCAGGCCGATGCTCTCGGAGCTGTCCAGCACGAAGAGGATGTCAATGGGGCCGCAGGTGCATTCTGCAGGGTGAGGGATTCGGGGGAGGGGGGGCGCACAGCAGTCAGCCCTCAGTCTGTCCAGCACCCAGTCTATCCCTGACAGTGTGTAGGGTTCCCCATCTTGCCCATACGCCCCCTGCTCCACCTGTCAGCTTGGATCAGGGCTTGCTGCTGCCTGCCCCTCCACAGACCCAGGCCTGGAGCCCGTGGGGGAGAAGAGTGAGGAATAAGTCTTGGGTCTGGGAGGCATTCACAGGTGGCAATGAGGGGGGAGTGGGTAGGCAGATGGGTGGGTAGGTAAGGGGCAAGTTCGGTGGGGAAACATGTGGATGGGTGAGTTGGGTGGTGGGTAGGCTTCATCTGAGACCCTTCTACCTACCATGGTTCTTCTACATAAAAGGTACAAACACTTGAGGGATATCCTAATGAGTTATGACATACGACTTACCACAGCAAGCTAGGAAAAAGAGGAAAAAAGAAATTAAGTAACAGTCAAGACCCCACGCTGTTTTCACAGTTAGGGTTGTTGGACCCCTCTGGGCCAACATTTCATGCCTTCCTGGTCATGGTGGAGGGGGTGCTGTCACAGTTATGTTAGGGCTCCGGCCTCACTGGAGACGGGGAGGCCTCTGATAAAGACTGTTACCCAAAGAGGCAGTGATACTCACAGCACATTTTCATGATGATGTCCAAAATCTCACACTCCTGGGGAGGGAAGAACATCATGTGGGGATGCTGACTCATCCCACTCCCCACCAGGCCACTCCTAGCAGCTCGAGGACCTCCACCTATTGTCACGTCCTGGTGCACGTTGCCCAGATGTGACATGCTGGCTGCAAGAGGTGCATAGCCATCATGCACCCCACCCCTGCAGGATGCCCAGTACCCCGAATCCTGTCTGGAGACACCAGGCTCTACACTGTTCCCACCTCCCACGAAAAGCAAGGTAGAGGCCTGGGCACAGGAGCTCAGGAACACACTTATTCCATGCAGCCCTAAACATGGACGCCAGCCTCAGCCTGTGGGGAGGGGCTGGAAGGACATAGGCTTCATGAACTGTACAGCAAGGACTTAGGGGGACATTGCTTTCCCTGCTCTGACATGACACATGGTGTCCTGAGCAGCCTACAGAGCCACTCAGTAGTGAGGTGACATCCCCACTTTCAGACAGTCCACATGGGCTTTCATATACAGGGCCCCAAGGAATAGTGTGGAGCACAGGACAGCTTCCAGACAACCACTTACGTCAGGTCCTGAGATTCCAGGGGGTCCAGGGGGTCCCTGTTGAAGAAAGAACCAGAAAGGGCTTTGAGGTGAGATTCTCTTCCCTGATTCCTATTGCCACAGCATGAGAATTCCCACCCTATGGGAGGCACATCACAGAGGCCCTGGGATCCCTGCATTAGACAACAGCCTGTTGTGTATGAAATTGTCAATGAGTATAGACCCATCCGGGAGCAAGTGGATGCTCTGGTCAGGTCTCCATCTGTCTGCCACTGACCCAGAGCCTGAGGCCACCTGGGTGTAACTTCTGAGCTGTGCCACAGCTTTGCCTCCTGTCTTGTCCCTTCCCTGGTGGGCACCCCACTAACCTGCTCTGACTCTTCTGCTCCCTGTGCTGGACCCTCTCTGCTCTCCCTGGCTCCTCTCTCAAAAGCAGCTTCTTCCTTCCTGTCCTTTTATGTCTAAGGCCTCCTCCACACTGTTCCTCCTCTGCCCCCCAGATCTCCGGGTCTCTCCCTATATCTTAACCCTCATTAGAGCCCTGGGTGCAGAACCTTAGATTGGGCCTAGCTGGGGGACTCACCTGAAGGCCTTCAGGGCCCCGATATCCCTTGGCTCCTTTGACACCTCGAATTGAAATATCGTTATTCTGGAAGAAAATAGTCTAATGTCACGCCTTGTCTAGACACCTGGGGCTTCTACCCAGAAAGACCCTCAACAACCCAGGTCACATAGCTGCCCATAGCCGAACCCCACATTACTCAGATTGCAGATGCTGCCTTTTGTGCTCTTGGCAGATTCAGAGTTTACAGCTTCCCCTCCACTGCCCACCCCTCAGGACCACTACTTACGTCCTCTCCTGGGTCCCCAGCATCACCCTCATCACCCTTGAGGCCAGGGTAACCTTTAGTGCCCTGTGAATGATAGGAAACCAAGCAAGTCAGTCTGTAGTGTTGAGATGAGCAGCCCCTGGTCCCAGGATGGGATGGATGGTGCCCAGAGCCCATATCTCCGAGGTAGACTTTTGATTGAATTTGTTCTCAGAGCAGGAAGGACATTGCAGGGCTGTGCTGTTTCTTTAGCGAGGGTGGGTAGGGGGCTTGCCAGGACCCCTGAGGGTGCTAGGAGATGGCAGTGAGTCATGCACAGGCCTCTGCAATGTGGGGCTGTCTCAGGGCTCAGCCTCCTCGATCCCATGACATGTGCACATATGTGTATGAATGTGCTTGTCTGTGTGTGCACAGAGTGGTGTGTGTGTGTGTGTGTGTGTGTGTACTCACATTGATCCCAGGAGGGCCCCTGTTGCCTGGATACCCCTGCAGGTGGAAAAACAAGTGAGTCACACCAGGTTCTGACAGAGGCCAGTGTGAGAAGTCCAGAGCTGGCAGGATTCCCATCATGAGATTTTGAGTCTGCTCAGGATCCTGGCTTTAACCCAGCCCACCCAAGTGCCCAGCTGGTCAAAGTGGATGGTATGGGTAGATACTTCAGGGTGGATGGCTCTAGGTACTTACTGGAAAACCAGGGAAGCCTTCGGTGCCATTTCCAGGGGGTCCATCATTACCCTAAGGGAAGAGCAGGCAAGGTCAACGGTTACTATGGGAGTCACCCAGGACTGTTTTCCCCATGGAGACACTCTGGCCATCTTCCCACAGGACACTCAATCAGCCCAGCCAACCCTCCAGACCTAAGTCCCACTCCTCCATATCAGGAACATGAGCCTGCCCACCTGCCAACATCTGGCCACATGCTACCCTTGGGTGGATGGTCACTCACCCTCTCTCCCATCAGCCCCGGGTCTCCAGGGGGCCCTGCAGGTCCTGGAACACCTCTGGTACCCTAGAGGGAGACAGGGGCTTTACTCTGGGAAATGAAGATGCAGGCACAGAGCTTTGTTAAATAGATAAATGGTGGAATAAACCATACAGAACATCTCACCCATTAACTGGGCAAAGATTAAAAGGAGATTTTAAGAAGGACAGTCCTGGGTGTTGGTATGGATACAGTAGGACAGGATCTTCACTGCATTGAACTGTCTGTTCAATAATTCAATACCAGGGAATGGGAAACCTGGGTGGGGACCCGTGTGGGATACTGCAGAGTTAGCTATGTGTTTGGCGATTGGGTGTGGCTATTGTAAGTGTATACCAATGATGTTCTTTAAAATGTTTGTTTAAGGTTTCAGAAAAATGCTCATAATAAAAAACAATTTTCTTGAAGTCCAGATTTTAAGACTAATATGCAAAGGGGGTAGAGGAGAAGAGATTGTCAAGAAATAAGCCAAGATAGTCACATAATCTCTGAGTAGTATAATTTTAGGAGATTTTAATTTTATTTTTAAAACTCTCAATGTTTTCCAAATTTTCTAAAACTGTCATAAGATAACAACTAAAGCAAAACATTAATAAATGCAAATGGAATTAGGCAGCTTTGCCCCATTCCAAAGAGCCCTCCCAGGTGTGTGAGATGAAAGAATGGGTGTGGAGGATGCTAAGGGTACAGGGAGGCCTGGGAAGGTGAAGAGTCAGCATCAGAAAGGCTCAGGGGTGGGCAGGAACAGGGAAGACTACTCACCTCAGTCCCTGGGGGCCCCTCATCGCCTCGGTATCCTTTTGGCCCGATAGGACCAGCCTCCCCCTGAAAAGAGATGGACATACCCCATTGGCCCCTCTGTGTGTAGATGGGCCTGAGTATAGTCAGATCTCCTCATTCTCTGCCAAAGGTCTCTCTGAGTTGTTCTTTGTTCCCATCATGAGGTTGGCATATCTCAAGGAGGCCTTTATTGGCTGGCCTGCTCTCACAAATTGCTTTAAGTCACACATTTTTATAACATCCCGATGAACAGACATGTTCAGTGGCCAGTCATGTGCCTGTGGCCTGTGCAGGCCAATAGACTTCTAGTGAACAGCTGCTTATGCCCTGACTAGTGTACTGCTTGCTGTCCCTGCCAGCAAACCCCTGCACTGGGAGCCTTCACAGATAATGGTGAATTTGCACACTTAACCCAGGGCGCTTTGTGCATGTCCATGAGACATGAGTCAGCAGCCCTCCCTTCTTGGGGTTCACAGAAGCCCTGAGATCCTGCTTTGGGAACATGAGAAGAAAGAGGACAGAAAGGAGGCTGTGGGGGATGGAAAACATGGGAGGCACAAGGGTCTCAGGTAATTTGTGCCTCCGGCTCCCCCTTCCACATCCAGACAGACACAAGATCACAACAACCCAGCAAAGAGGGCAGAAGCCTACAGTTGGGGCTGAATGTCTATGAGCTGCCTTAGCAGGGCAGCTGGGTGGGTACCTCCTCAGGTTCAGTCCTGCAGGCATCACCTCTCCTATGGGTCTCCACCTATAGGTGCCACCCATTCCTCCCTGTTTGGTTACTAGGAGTGGTGATGCCCGCAGGACTGGGCCCAAGGAAGCACCCACCAGTTGCTCTGCCAAGGCAGCTCATAGACACTTGACCCAGACTGGAGTTGAGCAAGGAAGAGCCCAGATTATAACAGGAGCATTGTGATGCTTTCTCCTGTTTTCTGTATTTCTCAACTTCTTTTTCATGGTGGTTATGTGCCGTGGAGTCGGTTCCGACTCATAGCGACCCCGTACAGGGTTTCCAAGGCTGTAAATTTTTACGGGAGCAGAAAACCTCATCTTTCTCCCACAGAACAGCTGGTAGTTTCGAACTGCTGACCTTGCAGTTCGCAGTCCAACTCATAACCACTACACTACCAGAGCTGGGACCTGATAAAACAGGCATTTGCCAAGACATTTTCTTCATGGAAACGCTAGTGTAGACCCCGGAGCAGAACTCTTGTGTCTGGGGCCATTATACATGCTCATAAAGGGGGTCAGCAGTGAGGGGGCTGGACTCTGGAAGCAGAGACAACATAGAGTCCTGGGAGGCTGCTGGCCAGTGTAGAAAAATGCTGCTCCAAAGCCAACTAGCCTCCTTTTCCCCAGGAAGAGTCAGGTGAATTAGTGCCCATCTCATTGTGTGCCATGAGTCAGGAGTGGACTGTCTTCGGTAGAGACAGAGGCCTAGAGGAAAGCAGGGATTCTGCAGAGGAGAAGCTGAGCCTCTGGGACTTGGCAGGCTCTGGGGGAGGCATGAGAGCCCCACAGGGTGGCGGACCCAGAGGAAGAAAGCGAACCTTCAGTACCAGGCATATCTACAGCCTGGGCAGGTAATGGGCCACACTCTCATCCTCATACTCTGAGAGTTTCCTTTTTCCCAGTGAATATTAATTACTTTTAAAACGGGAAATATGCAGATGCTATTAGAGCCTGCAACACAAACCCAGTCCCTGAGCATGTGCACTCTTATTAGAAAGTTGGTTCCCAGGTTTAGTCTTCCATGTGAATGATGTCTCAAAATAATTCTCTAAATGATGCCACAGAACACAAAGTGGACAGCTGGGAACAAAAAGTGCTCTGAAAGCCAACATGTCTTTGAAACATTGACATGTGGTGAGACAGTTCTACCAACATTCCTTCATTCATATTTGGGGACTGAGAACCTTCCACCATTTTTACTTTGGTTTATGATCCTCTGAAGATGGGATAGAACCATTTTAGGGGGACCTGGAGTGCAACAGAGAAGTCCATGTGGGCTTGGTTGCCTGGAAGATCTGATGTGGCAGAACTCTGAAACTGGCCTAGAGAGTCTCCTCCTTGCACTGACCTGCTATTGGTCTGTGTGGGCTGCTTCCAAACCCTGTGTTCCTGTCAGCTTTGTCCTACCCCAGAATAGACCAAGTGGAAACTGGCTCTGAGAGTTAGAGAAGACCAAAGTCAAGAACACATACTTCTCTGGGAATGTGTCAGGGTCCTCCCTCCCTGAAAGAGCAACACAGGGGGGTGGTGACCCAGCCCAGAGTCCAACTGCCAAGTCATGTTCTAGTCCTAACCTACACAGACAATTATTTTTAATTTGGCAACACAAAAGTATACTTTCTCTTAGTGCTTGGAAATAAAAGTGTGGCTTCATCTGTGAAGGCCCCTTATGACTCCCCAAGGGTTGAGGTCCATGCCTGCGGGTGACCAGTGAATTAAAACAGCTGACTTTGCTCAGAATCTGACCTTGGAAATTGGTAGTAACAAACATTTGGTGTAAACGTAGCTTTGACCTTAAAACTATTTAACCTTCAAAAGCACAGACTCTTCCATGTCCCCGAGTATGACTGTCCAGAGATTGCCTCAAAGCATCTGGGCAGCAGGACCTGCTGGCCTGGTATTAAAGCATAATTATACCAGTCGTCATTATGTCAACTCCAATTCATGGCAACACCATTTGTGTCAGAGTAGAAAGCGATAGGCTTTTCAATGGCTGATTTTTCTGAAGGAGATCACCAAGGTACTCTTCCAAGAAGTCTTTGAACTTGAACCACCATTTTGGATACCAGCAAAATGCATCTAAGCATTTGCACCCCTCAGAGACTCTATTACAGCATACTATAAAAGTATAATAATTACCATTGTTGGAATAGGGGGAGAAGTAGATTAAGGGAGCAATTCCAGAAGAGACACATATAGGAAAAGAAATTCAGAGTGTGATGAACCAAAGTTTCACTTAACCACTAGGAGAAGGACAGCATATGCAATAAATTGTCTGGCTCATCACTTGAAGAAAAAGTCAGGCTAGATACTCATCTCATTTATAGCCCAACAACATATGGTCTTAACAAATCAAAGCTGAAAGCACTAAAATGTAACAAAAATGGATATAGTGCAACAGCGTAGTGGTTATGAATCGGGCTATGAACCTTAAGGTCAGCAGTTCAAAACTACCAGACACTCCGCGGTAGAAAGATGAGGCTTTCTGCTCCCGTAAAGATTTATAGCCTCAGAAACCCTGTACAGGGTTGCTATACATCGGAACTGAATCGATGGCACTTAACAACCACAAAATGAGCAAAGCATTCTAAACAAAAGCCACAGAGAAAAAAATAGATGAATTTAGTGAACTAATATGGCACTTTCAAACTATCATGGTCAAAGTCAAAACATAGATAACAAATTAAGAAGAAAAATCACACTGCACCAAGAAACTTCACACGCCAATGCAAAAAACCATGCAGAATCCAATCTGCATGAATGGGAAGAACAAGAAGTACCAAGAGACTAAGAAAGAATACATAGAGCCATCCAAACTACGACAGAACATGTATATTCACCAGAGAAACAAAAATGTATTTTTGAAGTTGATCATATTTAGTGTTAGTAAAGGTGTGGGTTAGTTACTATTTTACACTCTTGGGAGAGTGTAAGTTGGGGCTACTTTGTGTAGAAATATTTGGGAAATGCACATACATACAGGACTTGATCAAGAAATTCTATTGCTATGAATTTCCCCTCTGGATATAACCTTGGAAATATTTCAAGAAAATTAAATTAGAGATGGATAGAGATTAGATGTATAGATAGATGATGGATAATGGGTGGATAGGTAGATGATGGATGGATGAATAGATGGATGGATTAGTGGGTGACTGGGTAGGTAGATGGTAGATCAGTAGATGAATGGATGGATGGATGAATAAATGGTAAAAGATGGATGATTAGTGGGTAGATGGTTTGATGGAGGAGTGGGTGAATGAAGAGATAGATGATAGGTGGATAGATGAATGGATACACAGATAAGTAGGTAGATAATAAATAAATGGGTAGATAAATAAATGGCTAGACAGATAGATAGATAGATAGATGGAGAGGTGCTAGATGACGGATGAATAAATGGATGGATGGATCAATAGATATAGATGAATGGATGATAGATACAATATTATGGTAATTAGTATTTGTGAACTATATTAATTACTTTTTAGAGAATGAAGCAGCAATTAAAGGAAAAGGGGAAAAACTTAAAGGCTTCCATTCAGTTACTAATAAGGGTATAAGTAATAATGCAATTTAACATAGACAGATTTCATAAAACTATTTTGTTTAGTACTCATCTAATTGGACAAATATAACATTAAAGCAATTTGCAATCACATATCATTCCATGACAAAAACAGTGGTTACGAATTGGGCTGCAAACCGCAAGGTAAGTAGTTCGAAACAGCTGTTCCACGAGAGAAAAATGAGGTGTTCTAACGCTCCCATAAAGATTTACAGCCTCAGAAACCCTGTACAGGTCGCTATGAGTTGGAACCCACTCCACGGCATATAACAACAACAACAACAGGATCACTTCTATTCATAAAGCACTTCTAAACCTTATTTTATTGGAGACACGGTATCTCCCTTTTACTGCCAAGGAGATGGAGAACCAGAAACAGTCACATGATGGTCTCGTCATCAGGAAGCTCAGGTCCCAGGGTGGCCAAGGCTCCAGAGCCCACCAGATGCCACCTCTGTGTACACTGGTCCCAGGCCCAGGGAAAGCAGACACATTCCTCAGACAGATGGTTTCAACAATTTTACTTGAAATTATGTGCGAGGAAAGTTTTCCATTGAGCTCTCCCGGCCGTTTAGAATTGTATCCATATATAGCTCTTAAACGGGTCCATGTACTTCTCCATCTTCTCCTGGGAATGGACCCAAGGTGCAATCTGAATGCTCCATCAGGAGAAGTTACACGCTGCTCTGCTCTGCTCTGCGGCACATTCACTGCTGTTCCCTACTTTTCTTAATTCTTATTTTTAAAGCTACAAGTCCTAATTTTTTCTCTATTAAAAAACAAACAAACCCTTGAATACAAGGACCAGGCCTCCTCAGTGTCTGGGACCACTCTTTCCAGCCTTCACTGAACTCCCATTCCAAGCTACGTACCCTAGGCCAAAAAGGTCATCTGCATCTCAACACACAGCTCAGTTCTTATAGCCCCAACAATAGTTCCTCTCCTCATCTCTGGATCTCCCAGGCCCAGCTCAAAGACTGCTCCCTCCACACCCTCCCCACCCCACATCCCCCACCCCAGGTCAAGCAGCACACATTATCTTGTAGGTGGTTTGAGCAGAGGGCTGTGGATGCACACAACTTCTGAGCATAGGATTACTTGATGCTTTTCAAAGATAGATGGGAACAATGGGCTTTGGAAGATGGCCAGCTGGTGAATTACTCTGCACTCCCAGTAGCAAGGTGGGAGGGTCTTGGATGCAGGAGCGTCTAAGTGCTACCCAGATGATGTCACTGGGCCCCAGAGGGCCACCAGGTAAGGAACCAGAGAGCAGGGTCCAGAGCTGGAAGGTTCCATTCAACAAACAAGAGCTCCCTTCTGCCCCAGGTATGGGATATACAAGGGCTTTCCCATATTAAAGCAAAACAAAACAAAACTGTCCAAGTACAACCTGCTGTAAGATGGGTCTCCCTTTCATATATAAGCTGTAAGTGGAGCTTGCATGATTCTCCCAGTGGGTCTTGCATCTGTACAGCAATTGCACACTAAGTCTTCACCCCAGCTGGGCAGGGGGCCTTCAGAGCCATGAATGCAAGGAAGGTCACCAGGGCAGCAGGGATGGCAAGCAGAGCCCAGTGGAGTCTTGCCTCCCAGAGTCCTGCCCCAGTTCTTTGCAAGCCCCATCCACTGCTAAACTGTGTCCTGTATATTGGGCTGAATTGTGTTCCCCAAAAAGTTGTGTTGAAGTCCTAACTTCTGAGCATGACTTTGTTAGGAAATAAGGTTTCTGCAGAATTCATCAGTTAGGTTAACAGGAGGTCATACAAGCAGGGTGAGTCCTAATCCCATCTGAGTGGTGTCCTTGTTAAGGGGAACAGAGATGCTGAGGGAAGACACCATGTGAAGGAACCACAAGAGATGCCAGTGACCACCAGAAGCTGAGAGACAAGGAAGAAATCTCCCCTAGAGAGACAGAGGGAGCATGGCCCTACTGACTCTCTGAATCCGGACTTTCAGTTCTGAGAACTGTGATAGAATTTCTGTCGTATACCCCATCTGGTTTGTGGTGTGTTATTATGACAGTCATAGGGAGTCAGGTGAGACTGAGGTGCCCATCTTTCAATCTTCCTCAAAAAGGCCAGGCTCCAGGCTTGAGCAAGGGCATTCACAGGACACCTTACATGGAGCATCCCACACGAGCAGCCTCACACTTGCTCACATCTCATAGTGAAGACACTCTCCAATCCTGCATTCTCTGGGCCTTTTACTCTTTCAGCCTCCCACCCTGTCCTTTTACCCTACACCTGTGAATAATGTTTGGGACCTGTGGTTGTATATTGGGCATCACAGGAACCATTTTCTCCCCACATTTCCAGCTGGCCCCAGGCTGCCACCCCAGCCTCTTGTCACCTCATCCATCAGAAACTCCCTGCTGACCAGGTGAAGAGAGACACACTCCCTGGAATCTTTCTGCCTCCAGGACATATGCTGACCAACTTGGCTTATTGGAGATGCTGCCCCTTTCTCTGTTGTCTGCCCAAAAGCCAGGGTCCTTACCGGGTCTCCAGGGATACCGACAGGACCTTCTCTTCCTTGGTCACCCTGGGGTCCAGCTTCACCCTGAGGAGAAATGCCCCGTGAGTGTGAGGTCCAGCTGCATGGTCACAACCTGTACTGATTGGGGGACCAAGACCCAGGAGCCTGTTGGCATGGACAGAGGGGAGCAGGACTAGGCTCAGCTGAGCATGATGCAGGGCTGCCATAGGACTGACTGACAGGCTGCTGCTTCTTCTCCTTTTGACTCTCCACATTTTGCTAGAAGTGATAAGTTCTTTTTCAGAAGGCACACCATGGGCAAATTCACAGGTTTAATCCCTTCCTCTGACCTCCCTGCTTTAGCACTCTCATTTTCTAGAATTATCCAAACATTAGGAACCCTAGTCCCTGTTCCTCCCCTGGGCTCAGACTAACTTCCATTTCCTGATCTCAGGGGAGTGTAGTTGGGGCATGATCAAAGGCTATGTTAACCCAACTCTGGGGTACGTCCCCACACACACAGGAGGTTCTGGGGAACCCTAGGGAGCAGGGAGGGGCTGACAAGTCTTTATTTCCCTGGTTCTTGGTCTTAGTTGGGTTCAGCATCCACCAATCAGCAATTCACTCCTTCTTTCCCTGTCCCCACCCCCACATTGATCTAGAAAGCAGTGTGCCCACCAGTCCTTTTGTTCCGGTGAGAGGGACCCAATGGCTGGTCCTGGACACTGTGTTTAGCTGGAGGTCCTGTTGTCAGGAACCCTGGTGGGACAGAGACCTCGCTGGGGTCTTCAGTGGGTGCATGAGGGGGAACAGGAGCGGGCCTGGCACTGCTGTGCTTTGCTCAATGTCCCAGAGCTACTGATCTAAAAACATGACTCACCGGTTCTCCTCTGGGGCCCCGAAGGCCAGGTGTCCCCCGTGGTCCTCTTTCCCCAGGGCCACCCTGTGCAGAGAGAAGGTGGGGAGCTGTGGTGTGTGCTGGGGTTCTTAAGCTTGGACACCCTGGGTTGACCTCCCCCGCCCCACAGGACACTCCAGAACTAGTGCCACCTCACACCCTGCAATTTCAGAGATGGTCTCCTGCTTACAGAGACCCCGAGACTGAGTATACCCACAAGATCCCAGCCAGCCGGTCCGTATTACTGATTCTTAAGACTAAAACCACCCAGTTGCTGTTGATTCGACACCATAGGGTCTTTAATGACTGAGTTTTTGGGAAGTAGATTGCCAGAATTTTCTTCGAAGGCACCTCTGTGTGGACCTGAACCTGCAAACCTTACAGTTATTAACCAAGTGTTTTAACTGTTTATACCTCCAGGAACTCCTCCTAAGATTAAAACTACCGAATTATTAGGTGGAGGTCTTTGCTATCCAACCAGTCTCTGTAAATGCAGCCATGGGAAGGTGATTTTTAATCATCCACGAAATCCCTGTGGCTCTGAACTGTGTATAACTGGTGTAGCTTTGTCAGTGTCAGATGAATGCATCTGGCGGTTCCAGCCTCTTGTGTTCCCCTCTGTGGTAAGTGATCATGTAACATAGTACCAAACCCCTGCCACTCACCCTCTCCCCAGGAGGTCCATCTGGTCCTGAGTTTCCCTGTGATGAAAAGGAACAGACAAGCATCAGTTTGCAGTGGGAGCCTGTGTGCAGTCTTTGGGTTTGGGAACAGGAAACATAAGCACTGGGGCGCTGCTTACCTCATCCCCGGCTTCTCCTTTCTCTCCTGGGGGCCCAGGTTCTCCTGGCTCACCCTAGGGTAGGAATATGGGTAGAACAATTTACCTCTCTGACTCCCTTTTACTACACTTTGACTCTCGGGAGATACAGGGTGGTGGTGGTAATGGAACCCTGCTTTTGGGCTGCCCACTTCTTACCTCTTCTCCAGGGGGCCCTGTGTTCCCAGGCCTCCCGGGCTCACCATCCGTGCCAGGCTCACCCTGTGAGAGAGTGGAGAGGTACAAGGTTACAAATGTTCACTTTGAGGTGCGATTGGTGGTTTCTGTGGGGCTCTGAGAGCAGGTGTACAGCTGTCTGACCTCTGAGAGACCATGTACAGGGCTGTCTTGGATAATTAAGGGCTCTGGCCACCATAATACCTGAGCTCCAGGCCACTGTGCCTGACCAATGCCACCTGTGCCTCTGACTCACAAAGACTCCACCCACCCATCTCTATACAATTGTTGTTAAATGCCATGAAGTCAGTTCCAACTTGTAGCGACTATGCATAGGATTTCCAGGGAGCAGCTGGTGGGTTTGGCCCTGACCTTGTGGTGAGCAGTCTAGTGTTGATCCTACAGTGTCATGCCAGGACTCCTCTCTACACAAGAACCTGCTTCAATATTTTTTAACTTGGCTGACTGTTATCTTTGCTAACTATAAACCAGTTGCTGTTGAGTTGATCCCTGCTCATGGCAATGCCATGTGGCTTAGAGTAGAGTAGAACTGTGCTCCACAGGGTTTTTAATGACTGAGTTTTCAGAAGCAGATTGCCAAAGCTGCGCTGGATGGGTTCAAACTGCCAACCTTTTGGTTAATAGCCAAGAGCTTAACAGTTTGCCAGACACCCCTTATAACTAGGTGATGCAATCAATTAATGCTTTCAGATGTGAGCCAATAGTTTGAAGCTTCAAGTTCACCCAGACGTGTCTTGGAAGACATTCCTGGGAATTTTCTTCCCGAAAATCAGACAGTAAAATGTGTCTAGAGCACAGTTTGGCTATGACACACACAGGGTCACCATGAGTTGTGGTCATTTTAACAATTTTAAGAAGTAAAATTCAGTTTTGGTTAGTGTCAAAATGGTGACAGGGAAACTTGAATCCAGTGGGCAGCTTTGGGTCCACTGGGACCACTGGGCAATTGTGAATGCTAAGATGAGATTCTGAAGTCATTTTCCTGGATTCCAGGAAATATGTGTTGGAGAAAAATGTGGATGAAAGTCATCTTTCCTGATATTTTTTGGTTGTAATGAGAAACCCCAAAATAAAACCCCAGCAACATGGTAGCCAGCTTTGAATCGAGCTCTTAAAAAGTTCTCTCTTCATGCTGACTCTCATTGCCTACCACAGCTCCCAGCATCACACTCTTCGTCAACAGTTCTGGGAGAGCAGCCTGTGCAGAAACCCCTCAAGCAATTGGGAAGGGGTTTCACACAGCAGCCTCTTCTTCCCTTCAGGGAGATTGGAGTGATTGAGAAGAGAGAATACTTGGGGCTGAGCCAATGTGGGTGATCCCAGCCTGCAAAATGATCCATAACTCTGTTCCCATCACAATACCCATAGCTGATGCCCTTGCCTAGACTACACAGGGTGTTAATTTCTACCATTTTCTCCTCCAGAGGCCGTGTGGTACAGCCAGGCTGATGTGGCTAGCACCTATCCTTTAAGGCATAGAATCTGCTTCCACAGAGAGTATCTGATTGAACACTTGGTGGGCAGCTCCCTGCTCTTCCCAGCTCCAAAGGACACAGGTCACTGACCTTTTCTCCTTTCAGTCCAAAAGAGCCAGGATCTCCCTTAGGCCCAGGGGGTCCTTGGATGCCCTGTGAAAAGATGAGATCTTGGTACTGTCACACGAACAGAAGCTGGTGTGGCCTTACCAAGTGTCCTCGTAGGCACATACAAATGCAAAGCAAATTTAAACACAAAATTAAACTTCTCAGTAGTTGCACAAGTATGTGAACCAGCTATCATCCCTCAAAGTGCCCAAGAGAGTGAAGGACTTACGTCAAATCCAGGCGAGCCCTTGCAACCTGGCAGCCCAGGGTACCCTGTTTCCCCCTGGGAGAAGGAAGGAAACCAGACAGTGACGTCAAAAATTAAAGGGGATTCTACTTTAAATCTTTTGGCACTGCTTATCCATCCCTCTGCAGAGTCCCTCCCAAGAAAGCCCATCAGCCCAGAAGATGCTCCAAGCTTAGGTGGGAAGCTTGGTTTCCACTGGGACCTGGGGATTGGCAGGAAATGCCCACAAGAAATACTTCCTGCCTTCCAAGCTATCTCAGTCACCTGAGAAAATCCATGCTCATGACCCCGTGCCTGCCCACCCAGGGGCACTGTCCACAGTTGCTATGCTCACATTATTCACAGTCGCCTACCAGCCAGGGGTTACCTTCATGCCATCCACACCATCGATGCCTCGCTTGCCCTTCTCACCCTGAGAGGTACAGAGGTTAGAGAGAAGGTCAGACAATGAATGATACACAGCACCCACTTGGAGGGCACACTCATATCCCTGACTCGTCACTCACCTTGTAGCCTTTGGGTCCCCTTGAGCCCTGTGGACACAGGAAAGACAGTAAGCAAGTCTCAAGCCATTAACAAACGCCCCACCTTGGGTTGGCCCCATTTAGGGGCAGTAAAGAAATCCTGCTTAGGTCACATGTGGGCAGGTCCCAATAGCAGGGAGCCCACTGAGGAGTCGACATGGACCCCAAACCAGGGAGGTGCAACTCAAGGAAGTGTCCACACTTAAGTGTCTTCCAAAACCCTCCAGGAGGCAGAGTACACACTGCGGAGAGCCCTGTGCTGCGATGATCCTGAAAACAGTAACAGTGAAGCTCACAGGTGGAAGCTCACCACATAACTGACTGGGTCCCCCCAGAGATGAGAGAGGGGAAGAGGGCAAGGACGGGGCCATATCAACTGGCTGACCTCTGGACCTGTGTTAGGGCTTCACAGCAACAGGGTCACAGATGTCAGCCTCACTGTCCAGGTGAGAAGGCACCTAGGGTTGAGCTGGCAGCTCAGTGAGGGGTGGCCGGCACCAAGGCCATGTCCCTAGACCTACCTGATGGGACCTAGAGACCAGACAAGAGAAGCTTTGGACCCTGTGTCTTGCTCACCTTTTCCCCGCGACCTCCTTTTTCTCCCTAAACACCAAAACAGAGAAGGGGGAGACTGTGAGGGTGGCCTGGGAGCTGGGTCCCAGGAAGATCCATAGGGAGGGGTGGTGGCAAGGGACTCACTTTCATTCCTTGGTAGCCAACAGGTCCCAGGTCCCCTGGCCTTCCCTAGAACAGACAGAAGGGAGTGTGTTAGACACCCTGGGTGGGTGGGTGGGGGACCCTGTGCCCCAGCCCATCCATCTTCTTCCTCCCTCTTAGGAGAATCTACTCCTCAAGACCAGACCTCCTCCCCGGGAAGGGGGTGGGCAGCTCTGATTGTCTGAGGGGACACACAGCAGTGTGATATAGAATCCATCCTCGAAGGAAAGGCCACCAGGGACCTAAGGAGTGAGAGTGGGTCAGTCCACAGGGGTATCCAAGAGGACTGGGTGGGGGAGGCTGTGGGGAGACCCCACCTGGCCACATCCCCATCTGAGTGCAGGCAGGGTCAGTCTGAAAGCCTGTGGGGTCTTGGAAGAAGGGGTCTGTGCCTGCCTTCTGAATTACTTCACCCATACGGGCAGAGTGGCACCCCGAAAGCAGCCATCCATCCTGAAGTTTCCTCTGCCCCATGTACCATGTACCACATCCCAGGCCCCTCACCCCCAATCCTGGTGGGCACTCACCGGCTCTCCAGCTTCTCCCTTCTCTCCTGGGAGCCCTGGCTTCCCACGCTCACCCTGGAATACAAAACACGGGTGGAGTGAGTGAGAGAGCCCGACTTCCTCCATAACATGCCCTCACTCCAGGGATTCTATGGCTCAGGATTCCCTGCCACTTTTGACCTGTCATGGAGCCAGTGTTCAGGGCCACATGCCTTCACTACTCAGCCTAAGGTCTCCAGACCATGAAGCTGCTTCTGCTCCCACTGGCCACACCCAGCTATGCAGACTTAGTGCTCAGAAACCTGGACTTGGATGTGCGACTCTCATAGGTTGTGAAGACAGGATTCATGTTTTCACTCTCGTCTACCATTAGGCCCCAGCCCAAGATGCGATGCAAGTCCATGGTGTGTGGAGAATACCCTTCTGAAAGGTCACGACCCCTACCACGGATCCCACAATTCTCCTGGGTGGGTCAGACCTCTGGGCAGACGTGGGAGCCTCCATACTCCATAGAGCCACAGACGCCACCCTCACCCCACTGCATCTGGCTGTGACTTTCCCTCAGGCTCAGGGATGTCTCCTTGGATGCCAGGCTCCTGTACCACCTCCTTAAGGATAAGACTGATGTTGGGGCCCCATCTTATCCTTACATCTTGGATCTGAGACTGCAAGGACATTTCTTCTACCAGTTTCACTGGACACAAGAATGGAGCCTATGTGACCACTCACCTCATACCCGGGGTCGCCCCGAGGTCCAGGAGGTCCCCTGGCAGGCTGAAGACACAAGAGATAATCAGTCCGAGACAGCATCAGGTGAGCCCAAGTCCCCAAGGGAGGCCACACCCACACTCACCTGACACTCGAAGGAGCAGCACTGTGGTGTGAGGAAAAGGGGACAGAAGCCACAAGTCAAATACTGAGAGGCACAGAGGTCCCACCCAACACCTGTCCGACTCTGGTAGGCTCAGGGAGATGTGAATTGTGACCCCAGTGACACTGAGGCCCATTCATTTCCCGTTAGGACAGCTCAAGGGAGAAGGAAGCTCCCTGCTTTCAGAGGTAAAGAGGGGCTTCTTACCACTTGCTCCACATTGTTTTTCTGAAAAGTGAAATGAAAAGGTTGAATCAATTTTAACTGTGGCCACAGAATTTTCTGGAGTCCCAGACCAGTGGCTGCAAGGGTGTCCGGCACTCACAATCATGTCGATGATGGTGTCGATGGTCTGACGGATGACCACCTGCGCATCCCTCGTCTGGTCCCAGTCAGCCGCTGTGAAGTTGCGCCGGTACGTGTGGTCGGAGGCAATGATGCTCAGCCGGGGCTCCTGAGCCATGCATGACCCAAATGAGGAAGAGACATTGAAGCCACAGCTGGGGGATGGCCCTGCCACCCTAGGACAGTTCACCAGCCCAGCCAGACCTGCACCCCAGCCCTCCAAGGATCTCATGGTCCTGGTACACGGAGCCCATGCACTAAGCCTGTGAGGGCTGGACCTGCTTGAGGCTGTCCTCATCCCAGGGTTCAGAGAGGTAGGGGGGCCCTGCACTTAGGCAGGGGTTATGGAGGAAAGCAGAGCTGGGGGTCATGTTGATGAGGAATGCCTGCAGATCCTGTCTCAGGTCTCAAGCCTGGCCTCAGCTTTGTGGGGTGCAGAGGAGGGTAGAGAGTCCTACCAGGTGGTCAGGAGTGATGGCCACTGAGAAGACTTTGATGCCCAGGTGTTTGGCCTCATTGACAGCATCCTCCAGGCCTCCACATGGCTCTTTATAGCCCTCCAAGGGATGCCCATCTGTCACCACGATCAGATACTTGTTCTCCTTCAGGTGGGAGCCCCTGGAGGGGTGGGGCACAGTCAGATCACCCTTGACACCAGGCTTTCCAGTCCATGTTGACCCTGAGGGCTCTGGGCAGCCCCCACCTCCTGCAGAATCCTTCAAGTGAACCTCGGGCAGGGGCAGGGGACATCGGTGTAGTTTTGCAACATGTCTTAATCTGCTACATTTGGATACTCTGTTTCTCTTTGGTGATCTAGGTGACATACTAAATACTAACAAAAGGGTATTAAGACAAAAATTAAAATTTGTGGGATCACACGTCTCTACAAATGATTAGAAACAGGCACAAATACTGGGAGAGAGAGGTATGGGGACTCACTACAGAGAGAAACCCTCAAAGACTCCCAAAGTGCCCAGAACTCCGATTTTCAGAACACAAGGTGATGTTGTAATTAACCAACAAATGTGTGACATTAGCTGAGCTGGTTTGGCTGATTTTTTTGGTACATTGCTGATATAGATAGTTGCTTACACACCATTTATTTTTGTGAGAAATGGAAAACAACAGATTAATCTATAGACAACCTTAAATACAAACCATACCTAGACATAAAATAGGTTCTCTTTTCAAGAATAAAGCCTTGGAATAAGAAGAAAGGATGAAAACTGGAAATGCAGGAATACCTCAAAGATATTTTGGGTTTGGTTCCAGACCACCAAAATAAAGCAAATATCAAAATAAAGTGATTCACATAAATTTGTTGGTTTCCCAGTGCATCTAAAAGTTACAATGGCAATATACTTAGTTTATTGAGTGTGCAATGGCATTATGAGAAAGTTTGAAAGATTGTGAGAATTACCAAAATGTGACAAGACATGAAGTGAGCACATGATTTTGGGAAAATGGCACTGATAGACTTGCTCAATGCAAGGTTACCACAAAACTTCAATTTGTCAAAAAAAAAAAACACAAAAAAACAAAAACAAAAACCCAAACTAACAAAACAGTATTGTGAAGCACAATGAAGCAAAGAGCAGTAATATAAGGTATGATTGTACAGGCAACATGTACCTTCTTCCTGGACCACTTCCTGGACATGCTTTAAGAGTATTTTCAGGATAAATGCATATTTGGCTACTTAGAGTGGGCAATGTTTCTGTCAACGGGCTCCACATATCAAGTTTTCCTGCCATACCACTAAACCCAGCAGCCTAGATCTCCTTCAAATACACTACTGTTCAAGTCCCCTCTGCAAAGGCAAGAAAAGAAGGGGACTTGAACTTGTCTTGTGGATTCAGCACTCCTACCCTAATGGCTCCTTGTTAATGCTGAATAAGAGGGACTTAGTAAGCCTCAAAGGAACGTTGTCCCCTCCAACCCCACGCTGGACACTGGGGCTTCATCCAGACCAAACAGGGGAAGGAAAAGATGGGTACAGAGACGAGCGCCTTGTCCTGTGCCTACGCTCTACCCCTCCTCCTCTCACCCCATCCCTCCCTGCAGCCCCCTTTTAGGTGCTTCCTTTTGCCAGTACTGGTCTCACTCTGAAGCTGCAGTCAGAGGCCAGCTGAGGAACAGCCAGCTGAGGAACGAGTTTCTGTTGTCTACCTTGTCTTGCCTTCTGAGCTCCCTCCCTTGGCATTATTTTGCCATTTCTGGAATGGGAGCAAGCTGGGGAGGCCAAGCTCTCTTCCTGGTGACTCAGCCATAAGAGATGCAGCAAAAGGCACTGGGATGAGCCAGGTCAGGGATGCCAACCTCTCTCTTTATGAACACAAGCACCGACTGGCCTTCCTCAAATGTCACCTTCATTCAGAGGTAGGCAACAACATCAGAGGGGTGTTGTTCCTATTATTCCAGCACGGGCATTTGGCATGTCCTTCCACATTTGGGAGGATATAAAGTGAGCACACTTTAGGAGTTGCTCCTTGTTATGAATTGTGCTCCCCTCAAATATAGAGAGTCCTGGTGTGGCACTGTAAGATAAGCACTGGATTGCTAACTGCAACGTCAGCAGTTCAAACCCACCAGTCACTCCTTGAAGACACTATACAGGATTGCTAAGAGTTAGAACTGACTTAATGGCAGTTAACAGTAACAATCTCAAATACATGCTGTAAATGCTAAACTCTATACTTGTGGAGCCCTGGTGGTGCTGTGGGCTAGGTGCTGGGCTTCTGACTACAAAATAGGCAGTTCAAACCCACCAGCTGTTCTATGGGAGAGCGATGAGGCTTTCTGCTCCTATAAATATTTACAGCCGCAAAAACCTCATACAGGGTTGCTATGAATCAGAATCGACCGTGGATTTGTTTTTTGGTAGTGGGTATATCTGTGGATGAAATCCTATTTGGGAATGGGGTTTTCTTTATTATGCTAATGAGACTATATCAGTGTAGTGTGTGTCTTAAACTAATTACTGTTGAGATAGAAAAGGACCCAATTAGGTACAGACAGAAGAAACACAGTGGCCATACCACATGAAGATCGCCAAGGAACTGAGGAACTGAAACTGAAAAGAGAGTCTCGTTCAGAGCTGATAGAGAGAAACCCTTCTAGAGCTAGTGGCCCAAATTGGAGTTCTAGTCATGGTCTGGTGCTTTAGGATAAGCCCTGAGCTGCTAACCATAGGTAGTGGTTCAAATCCCACCAAGTGCTCCTTAGAAACCCTATACAGGGTCTCTGTGAGTCGGATCTGACTCGATGGCAGTTGACAATCACAGAATTGTGAAATAATAAAACTCTAGACAGAATTTTAAAGCCACCCAATTGTGGTATTTCTGTTGTAGCAGCACTAAGAAACTCAGACTTAGCGCCTACATATCTCAGCAAGAAAGATGCCCCCCCTTAACTTCCTCTGTGGTCTAACCCAGACAGGTCAGCCAGCTGGTTCTGGGGACACAGCCACTGACCTTAGCACCTACATATCTCAATAAGAAAGATGCCCCCCAGTAACTTCCTCTGTGCTCTAACCCAGACAGGTCAGCCAGCTGGTTCTGCGGACACAACTACTTACCCAATCCATACCTCAGAATGGGAACTGGATGGTCAGGTTAACTACAGACAAACCACCAGCACCTGGTAACTGCCTTTGGCCAGCCTTCGGAGCATGGAGACTCTTTCTTTCCTCCCTGGGGCCATCTACCCAAGACCCTCTAAGGACCACAGGACTCCTTACTACAGGGCAGTTAGAGCTCACCATGGGTAGCAGTGGGGGGTAGGGTGGAGAATTGAATTAACCATGGTATCCATCCGACTGTTGTTGGCTGGTAAGCACTACCAATTAAATGCACTGGCCACACCCAGAACTGACTGCGTTCCTTAGAAAACGAACTTCTCTCCTTACCCTCTCCTTCTGTTTATGTCTCTCTGATTCTGCCTCACTACCTCTAAATCTCTGTCTCTGTATATCTCTGTCTTTCTCTGTCTTCTATCTGCAACACTTATTGTGACAACGGACAATCACTCTGCCATGCCCTGGTCACAGTTCACCCAGTGGGTCAAAAGTGAAGCCCAAGGTTGTGTAGCCTTCCAAAGGGTAGGGTCCGGGATGGGGAGAGCCCTGTGCCTTTCATGAAATGGCAGATGAGCTGGGGGAGGCATGTGAGGATGGTCCAGGGTGTAGGTAGGATGCATAATGAAGCTGCGTATGGTCCTCATCCCACTCACCCGACTAGCAGCTCCTCCAGCCCCTTCTTGATGGCACAGTCGGTGAAGGTGCCCTTGCCAAAGTACTTGACAGCATCCACACTGCTCTTGAGTGAGTCGCGGCCACTCGGCATGCGGGTCAGCCCACTGATGATCTCTACCTCATCACTGTAGTGCAGCGCTCCAGCATTCCAAACCAGATTTCGGTCACACCGGTAGTACCTGTGTATGTAGGGTGGGATGAGTAACAGGGGGAGTGGGACCTTCTGAGACCCTAGGTGCAGACAAGTGCAGTGCTGGGACCAGGCACCACCCACTGCACAGCCCACAGATGGTTGCTGCTGCCCCTTTGTTTCCACAAAGAGCTACAATGGTCTGGAGAAGGGATGGCTGGCATGGGGACTCCCCACCTCTGAAAGCATGGGCCCTGCCCTGGGAAATGACATGACAGTAGGGGCCTGGGGAAAGACAGCTGGCCTCAGTTAGCTGAGTGACCCATGATTTCCTGGGGTGGCATAAGTTCAGATTGAACCGCGAGGTAGGAAGTTCAAACCCACCAGCTGTTGCTTTGAAACCCTATAAAGGCACGCTATGATTTGGAACTAACTCAACTGTACTTAATAAAAACAACAAGGAAGATAAGCATTGGACTGCTAACCTCAAGGTCAGATTCTAACCCACTAGATGCTACTCAGAAAATCTTTGCTGTGAGTCGGAACTGGCTTTCACAACAACAAGGAGGAATCACAGTGCAGCCTGAGCTTGGGAATGGGTGAAGTCTCAGGAAGAGGGGTGGAAGGGCAGACCCTGTGTGGACTGAGTGCGGAGGTACAAGCAATGACTGAGCCAGAGGTGGGAGAGCGCTAAGTGGACCTTGATGTGAAGTTATTGAGTTTGGGTCCTTCCTTCTCAGGGAAGGCCCAGGGCCCTTCCTCTCCCTAGGAGATGCAGCCCAACTCCTCCCCTCAGCTTCACAGGGAACTGCTCTGCCCAGGGCCTGGGGGTGGTCCTAGAACCTCATGGTCAGTCAGAGGCTTCTGCTCCTATTAACATCCTGAGCAGGTCGCCTCTCAGGTGTGGGATTACTGAGTGGTTCCTGTCGTCCTTTCTGGAGGGCAGGAGGCTCACCCTCGTTTGTGCTTTTCACTGACTGCAGTGTAGCAGGGGCTCCCCCTCCTAGGTGAGGGGGATCCACTACACCTCCTCCCATGACTGTAGCCTCAAGGGGGATGTGTCCACATCCCCAGATACACCCAGTGCCCACCACACAGAGCTCCCTGGCCTAGGACTCCCCACTCCCCTCAGCTTCTCCTGCTCCTGGAACCTATGTGGATTTGTTGGATGAATGGGTGAGCAAGTAAATGAATGAATGGATGAATGACTGTTCTATCCTCTAATCAAGGTCCTGTCTTGTTTACGTTCTGGAAGCCTAAAGTTTCTGCCTCTCACAGATCTTAGGTCTGTCAATGATTCCAGCCCCTCCAGATCCTCTTAACATCAGGTAGAGAAGGGGACCTAACCCATGCACTTAGACATGCTTTTCAGGTGTTAATGAGGGGTGCCCTCTGCAGCCAGCAGGCTGAACTGCATGCTTCACTGGGTTCTTGCCAATTCACTAAGCTGACTCCTTTTGTTGAGGTAAAGTCACCTTTTTTTGGTTTGCATGGGGGATAGTGTGAGCCCCAGTTTTAGTACAGTCTCTACTGCCTGCCCCCAATGACCGAGTGATGCCCTCAAGCCTGCTTTGTAGTCCCAGAGGGCCACATGGAATTCAGTGTCATTCTCACCCCTAGGAACCACTTTGGACTTAGGAGGGAACTTGGAGCTATATGGCCAACATGCTCTTTTCGCACAGGAAAACTGAGGCCTCAGGCTCACCCTAGTGGGCAGTGATAGGGTGGCACCAGGCCATAGGCCTTCTGAGTCCCTGTTCCTCTCTGTGAGAGGCTCAGTAGCAATGCAGAAGGAAAGAATGTCAAGGTCTAGTCTTACCTGTCTCTCAGGTTGTCAATAAAGTTCTTTGTGAACTCCTTTACCCTGTCCACCAGGGCCCCGTAGGGTTTCAGCCTCAGTGCCACACTTTCGGAGGTGTCCAGGACAAAAAACAGGTCCACCGGGCAGTCTTGGCACAGATAGGGAAAAGAGGGGCTTCAGGCTTATGCCTCTGCGGTCTTTCATGTGAATCCTGCCAGCTGCCCTTCCCACCCATGCTCAGGAGAGCTGCCATCAACCCTCCCATGTACATAGTCATATCCTCAACAGCAAAAGCTTCCACCTTGAACAGAGGGGATGGAAGGGGCTTATGATGAGAGACCACTGTGTATATCTTTGAAATTGTACCCAACTTGGAGTTAGAACCAACCCTTCAGGAGGGTAAGAATGTCCCTGTCCTCAGGAAGTTTTCAAATTAAATTCAAAACTACCTAGGGCATGAGCTTCAGAACAAAGGTGTGATCTGAACAGGTTTCACAATTGTCAAGTAAGGAATCAAACGAAATTAATTGAACTATGAATAAAAAGGACTTGGCCATCACAGTGACCTCTAGGGTATAAGACTAGGGTTTGTTCATTAAAACAGGAAAAAAAAATGAGGCCAGAATGATGTCATCAGCTCCTTCTCACTTGTGGGTCCCCCTAACCTGCCCAGTCTAATGCACCTTCAATCACAGAGACACTGGAGGTAACACATCCCAGAGGCCTTGCTGGGAATATGGGGGGATCTTCAATACCCCCTACAAGCCCCCTCACCTGCAGCTGTAAGGAAAAGGGAGAGGATGGGGTCCTGCTTGCCCCAGCAAAGATCAGGTTGTGTCTGGTCCTGGAGTCTGTCTCCCCAGCGGCAGTAGAGAGCACCAAGACAAAGATGGGGCAAGCCCACTCACCTTGAAAAGCAATGGCCTTCGAGTTGGCTGGGGCATCCTGGGCGGTGGCCCAGCAGGCCTGCAGTAGCAGGGGAAGCAGAGCGCGGGCCAGCTTCATGTCGCTGGCCGCGGGTTCCCACTGCGAGAGAGACAGTAGGGTCGGCCCAGAGAGAGGAGAGGGAAAGGGGAGAGGCTGTCTTCTGCTTTCCTGCAGCAGGCGAGAGTTACAGCCCAGAAGGGGAGGGAGACAGGGAGGGGCGATAGACGAGGGACTAGGAGGGGGCTGGGGCAGGGAGGGGCTGGTCCTGGCTGGGGTAATCCCAGCAGAGGGCTGGGAGTGTGGCTTCAACTCCAGTGAGTCACAGAAGCCTGTGTTTGGGGTCCTTTTGCAATAGAATCATCCTGAAAGTCACTATTCCCTAAAACAGTTTTGATTCCATATCCTGCTTAACTAGGGAAGAATTCTATTTTTTTCACAAGTTCAGGGAGCTTTGGTTAAAGTGTTTGCTTACAGGGAGGTCAGTGGTTTGAACCCACCAGCTGCTCTAAGAGATGTGCCAGTCTGCTTACAACTTTTGAAACCTGTGGGGCAGTTCTATTCTATCTTATAGGGTCACTATGGAAGTAAGTTTTCACAAGCTCATGGGTATTTTTATTAGCTAACAGTGGACTGTAGAGTCCTGTAGGATCAACACTGGACTGCTAACCAAAAGGTCAGAGGTTCAAACCCACCAATTGCTCCTTGGAAACCCTGTATAGGGACACTATGAGTCGGAACCAACTTGACAGAACTTAACAACTACAGTGGACTGCAGTTCCCACCATAGAAAAAACCTACAGCAGAGTTAGAAATGTCTAAAAATTAAAGTTTAACCCAAAATGAATTTCCTTGAAGCATTTTTTTGGTGGTTGCCAAACCAAGTGCCTTCCTGTGGTGCCGTTTTCACCCGAATTCCGAATTCCACTTTAACTGTTCTCCACTAATGATGCTTGTATTTGTCTAAATGTTTCAATTTGTCAGATTTTCGTGTTATTTTCCATGCAAATACTTCTTCACAGTTTAGTCAAATACATAGTTTCAGAAGACAATTCCTTTTTCACTATGTGAAACAGTATGAACAAAAAAACATATATAAATAGTGCATCCCTGACTCTAAGAAAAGGTATGTACTCTACACTGGAGGTTGGGGAGTTCCAGATGCAGGTAGATCCAACGCTGACCTGGAAAAGTTTCCATATAAATGTGACCCTTGACATGGTCTTTCATAGAAATGCAGCCATTGACACTGGTCTAATATCAGTTTAAGTGTTTTGTTACTTGAAAACATACACAAGCTGTATATTAAAGAAAACATTGAGAAAAAATTTAAATCATAATTCATGCCACCACTTCACAATTATTATTAAATATAATTAAATATAAATATATAAAATGTATAATACATATATAAAATACAAATATACAAAAATATAAAAACTTACTGTGAATATAATGTTGATGAAAATTTCAAAGGGTGGTTCAAGAAAGCAAAGTATTATAATGAAATATACACAGATCTGGAGTTTGAAAACCAAAAGGGAAAACACATTCAGCTTTCCTTAAACTAAAAGAACTGGAGTTCTAAGCCTTGAGTTGTAATATTGAAGGATTGTTATGTGAAAATGTTGAATGACACAGAAAGTATCAAAAGAAGGTGGAAGGAATATAGTCACTGTAAGAAAAAGACTGGTCAACACAACCTCTTTAGGAGGTAGTTAGCATGTGATCAAGAACTGATGACAGTGAAGGGAAGAGGTCCAAGATGTACTGAAAGCATTGGTGAAGAACAAGGCTCCAGGAATTGGCAAAATTTCACTTGAAATATTTCAACAAATGGATGTAGCACTGGAGGTACTCATGCATCTATGCGAAGAAATTTGGAAAACAGTTACCTGGAAAATTGACTGGAAGAGATACATATTTGTGCCCATTCCAAAGAAAGGTGAGTCAAGAGAATGCATATATCATTGAACAATATCATTAATATCACAGACAAGTAAAATTTCGCTGAATATAATGCAAAAGGAGCTCTGGTAGTGTAGTGGTTACGAATCGGGCCATGAACCATAAGGTCAGCAGTTCGAAACTACCAGCTGTTCGCCAGAGAAAGATGAGGCGTTCTGCTCCTGTAAAGATTTACAGCCTCGGAAACCCTGTACCGGATCGCTAAGAGTCAGAATTGGCTCCACAGCACATAACCACCACCATAGTTCAAAAACAGCTGCAGCAGTATATGGACAAAGAACTGCCAGAAATTCAAGCCAGATTCAGAAGAGGATGTAGAAGGAGGGATATCATTGTTGATGTCAGATGGATCTTGGCTGAAAGCAGAAAATATTAGAAAGATATTTCTGTGTTTTACAGACTCTGCAAAGGTATTTGACTGTGTGAATCATAATAAACTATGGGTAGCATTACTAAGAGTAGGAATTCCAGAACACTTAATTGTGCTCATCAGGAACCTGTGTAGATACCAAGAGACAATCAAACAGATCACGGAGATACTACATGGTTTTAATCTGGAAAGGTGAGGGTTAGGGTTGTATCCTTTCACCACACTTATTCAATCTGTAGGCTGAGTATATGAAGCTGGATTATAAGAAGAAGAACGTGGCAGCAAGATTGAAAGAAGAGTCACTAACAGCCTGTTTACTGAAAGTGAAGAGGACTTGAAGCACTTATTGATGAAGAACAAAATCTACAACTCTCTGTGTGGATTACACCGCAACATAAAGAACACAAACATTCTCACAACTGGACTAATAAGCAACATCATGATAAATGGATAAATTATTGAAGTTGTCAAGGATTTCATTTTACTTGGATCCACAATCAATGTCCATGGAAGCAGTAGTCAAGAAATCAAATGATGTATTTCATTGGACAAATCTACTGCAAAAGACCTCTTTAAAGTGTTCAAAAGTAAAAATATCACTTTGAGGACTAATGTGTGCTTTACCCAAAGCTTGGTATTTTCACTTGCCTCCTTGGCATATGAAAACTGGACAATGAATAAAGAAGAATTGATGCATTTGAGTTACGGTGTTGGTAAAGAACAGACAATTCCGTCTTGGAAGAAATACAGTCAGAATGCTCCTTAGAAGCAAGCATTTCTCATATACTTTGGGCATATTATCAGGAGGCACCAGTCCCTGGAGAAGGACATCATGTGTAGTAAAGTAGAGGGTAATTGACAAAGGAGTCCCTCAACAAGACAGACTGACACACTGGCTGTGACATTGGACTCAAACAATGATTTTGAGGCTAGCACAGGACCGGACAGTGTTTTATTCCTTTGTACATAGCATCGTTATGAGTTACAATTGATTAAAAAACACCTAACAACACTGTTAGGTGTTGCTGAGTCAGTTCTAACAATTTCGTTAGCTGTCATGACACAATTTACTGTTATTTTGTTAGCTGTGGTTGAGTCTGTCCCTGATATATGGCAACCTCATCATGCACAAAACATTGTGTAGTCCTGCACCCTCCTCTTGATGGGTTGTTGATCGGACTGTTGAGATCCACAAGGTTTTGACTGACTGATCTTTGGTTTTGACTGACTGCCTGATATATGCATGGGTTTATTCCAAGTAAAATGTATTTAAACATGTCTCTGAGATTAGCAGATGGCTGCAGACAGTAATACACTTGTCTTAGTCACCTTGGGATAAAGGTCCCAACAAAACAGTGCTTCCAAGGAGAGTTGGTGGACCATTTATGTTCAAGGCAGAGAGGTCAGCTCAGAAGAATTTGGGGATTTTTTTTTTTTTTTGAGAATTCCAAAGGGGGTGATCTTGGTAGATTTTCTCAAAGGCAAAGGGTGATCACAGGGACTTACTAGGAAGAAGTTTTAAGAAAATGGAAAATGATATTGATGAGAAAAAGGCCACAAAAGTTGCACCAAAGAATTTCCCCCCCATCACAACTGTGTACCTCTTATTCTTTGAGGGTAGTAAATGCTATTCAAGAGAATTTCCTTGGAAAACTTTATCCCATCTACCCTATTAGCCTTATTGTGCCCCTTCAGACTTCTTTTTATTCTCCAAACTCAAAGAACTTTAAAAAGGACCATGATTTGAGTTCCTTGAGAATGTCAAAACTGCTGGTATAAATCAAAGAGCACAGAATTCTTCAGGGTTAGAGAAATGGAAACACCACTTTCAGAAGTGTATAGACCTTGATGGAGGGCATGTTGAGAAACAGTAGTTCCACAGTTTGATATTTTTGTTTAATAAAGGTTTCTATCATTTGGACTCCTAGTGTGGCACTGTAGGGTCAGCATTGGACTTTGAACCACAAAGGTTGTCTATGAGTTGGCACCTACTCCGTGACTCTTAACAACAACAATTTGTAGAAAACTTTGTGACTTCCCCTCACAGATTTCCAGGCATTTCTTCCTAGTGTTTCAGTCTGGACTAAGATGATGTTTAAGGATTCCTGGTGATGCTGTGGGTTAAGCATTGGACTGCTAATTACAAGGTCAGCAATTCAATCCCATCAGTCACTCCAAGGGAGAAAGACGAGCCTGTCTGCTCTGGTACAGATTTGTAGTCTCAGGAACCCTAAGCATCAATTCTACTCTGTCCTTTAGAGTTACTATGAGTTGAAATTGACTCAGTGCTAATGAGTGTTTTGAGTTTGGTTAAGATGATGTTCAATGAACCTGTTTAGTATCACAGCAACACACATCTCCACTGACAGATGAGTGTTTGCACATGAGGTGCATTGGCCAGGAATCAAACTTGTATCTTTTCCATGGAAGGCAAGAACTCTACCCCTGAGCCATCACTGCCTTATGCTGTAAGAGGCACTTAGGAAATGCCCTTCCAGTGCTTTCATCAATTTACATGATAATGAAAAATCAGTCACATTCATTTCCCTCTTTCCACATTCTGAAGGGAATCGAGGCCCTTTCTGGTCTCTTGTCTGAAACCCAGAGCCAGCTGCCCATCACCCAAGACAACAAGTATGGAAGGGAGCCCTGACTGGCCTGGGAGCAACCCAGAACTTCCTTGGGTATCAGGATCTTTCTCCAGACATGGAGCACTCCAGGATCATTGAGGGACTTCAGGACC